TGTCTGGATCCTCGAATTTAGCGTCTTTCCAATACCACCTGTGAGTGGGAGAGAGACGAAGCGAATGGGGTATCGTGAGGGTTAGACGGAGACAGACATAGGGAAAAAGTCTTATAAATAATCCTTTGGCATTGCAAAGTTACGTCTGATCGGACGGAGAAGGACTTGGCCTTTAAATTTTGTAAATTTTTTATACTGTACGTCAGTGTGAGTGAGAGGGACTCATGGCGATTACGGGAATAAGGGAGAAGCGGTCATGCCGACGGAGAATCGTGGAATACGATGTGGAATATTGTCGTGAAAGAAATATTTTAAATTGTTGCAAGACTCTCGCCCGTTTTCATCGACGCGGTTCAATGCATAAACTCGGTTTAACTGTTAGCCAATGAGGCACTTGTATTTTGAAGATGAACGGATTTTATGCATTGCACCGCGTTCAGGAAAACGGGTCTATGGGATTGACAGTGAAAATTAGGAAAAATTATCTGTATATTATGCAGACGATAGACGTAGTGTAGAGAGAGACGTTGACAGCGGAATGCGAATAATCAAGTGCGGAACGGAAAAAAAATGTTTGTTTTTTTCTTAAAGCCGGCAGATTCTCTTCTCTCTTCCGATCTCTTCTTATATCTTATTTTTCTAAAGTGCTGTTGTAACAAGAAACGCGCGACGCCTTGAGACGCCTAAAACATATGTATGCATGTATATAGCATTGACGATGAGCGGCGCATGAGGGCATTCCACATATTCTTGAAAATAGAACGTCGCGACGCTATTTATAGTGCGGGGCAGACGTACTACGTATTTTCTGGGCTCACTGATGTCGTGGAATATGGGTAGCCGTCTGTCGCAAACTTGAATACAAAATTCGCACCTATGTGTAGAAAAATCGTATAGAGATCTTGGCGGTTGATATCGCGTACCATAGAACCTTATTACACTCTTGGTGAAATATCGTATTTCCTATGTCATAGCTGTACGCATCTGTAAATGTTTTTTTTCGTTGATTATCGATTAATTTATTTGTACAGGCGGGTTACCAGGAAATATCACGGATACCCAACTGCCTTATATCCTTATATCCGCCTTATATCACATACACAAGAATGCCATTGTTATTGCACATTTGTCGGTGCTGTTGAAAAAAAATGTACTTGCTCTCAAAGATTTTTTTAATTTCCTATGCCTGCCGTGAGTGCGAGAGAGATGATCTTATGCGTATTTTAATGTGTATGAGGCTGACAGACATAGCCGATTATACAAATTGCTGTCAACAACCCTTTTAAATTCGACTTGGTCGTCGCGATGTCTGAAATATTTACTTAAGTCAGCGCTGCTTTTCATATAAAACAGCCAAAAGAATTTCAACAATTTTATTGTACTTTGAAATATGTGGTTTAACTGTACTTTTCCGAGGGGCTAGCTATACAGTGCTTCTCCATTTAGTTTTGTTCCTTCCGCCTACGTCTCACGTGGGCACGAGGAAATTTAATGGAAGGAGTAGGTGAGGACGTAGAATAGCTAATTCAATGTCCGACTACTCTATGCTTGTATTATGTGTTTACGTAACGTAACCTAAAAAAACGTACAGAACGAAATTTGTACAGGATTATAATTGTACAAGGTGAACTATATAGAGAATTTTGTTTAATTTCTGAATAAATTTTGATTGGTACAGAATTTCCGATAATTTTATTATTCATTCATGTTTTTCCAAGTCGCTGTGCATTTGTGACGTGATGCTAAACTTGTGGTGTTGTCAGGTAACAAGTAACATGACTGATTATGAGAAACTCTCTCTGTTCCGAGACGGATGATATTGCAGACATTATCTCACGAAGACGCAAGACAACGCAATGTGACTAGAGTCACGTCTGAATTTTTGTACTAGGCCATGGCAGTATCTTATTCGCTATTCCGTCGCGGGATATGCGCAAAATGTAGAAATGCTGAGAACGTTAATTTTACCATCATGACGCAATGATACAATACTGCTTTAACGTAGATATTACAGCAATTTAACGTACTAAACAATACTCAACAAATACAAAGCTAAACAGAACATTTATATCCACGACAAATTTGTTCTCCGTTAGGTTATACAAAGGTCATCCCATCATCCGATGCATTAAATTATCCGATGTTATTAACCGTACTCATGATAGATGATTGTTTGCATAAGGGATATATCGAGCTTCTGGAAGCAGGATCAAGCTTCGTCCACACGTGTATCGCGTGAGCGATCATAAAGGAACAACAGTCGTGGACCATAATGACTGTTTAGTCTGGCTGAGATTTTGTGAGCGGTATTGTATCTATAAACAGAAGTCGAATGATGCAGCGAAGAAAATTGAGAAAAATATATACACCTACCGGTATAACGATGTCTGATGTTCTTGCAGGTAGAGGCTAAATCCGTGGATGTGTCGCAAGTTCGAAATCCACCCTAAGATCTTTTGCGATCACTGGAGGTTCGCCAGAATTGTGAAAGAACTTGGTATAGTTCGTAAAGAGAGACGTGAACGTAGGCACGGGTTATGTGATAGGTGTATGACGTTTTATTAGAGTTACTGTATATATTCAAAGTGCAGCTTATTGGCAAAGGTGATAGAGGGCTACATGTTAAGTAGCTATCATCGCGCAAGGCGTCGCCACCGTCGTGGATGATATCCGAGGAAGTCTTCGTGTTTCCCACAGCGGAATTCGACTCGCGGAAGTTTAATGTTCCTGCCCGCCTCTCGAAATTGTAAACCGAGCGCGACCTTCTCTCGCTCCACTTATACGTACGTATATACGCGATGGGCATCCGTCGTGATGCACATCACCGATATGGCCGCCCCTTGTATTCACACCTTACTTCTAACCTCCTGCGCCATCGTCGATCTCATATACCTTTTCCGGCCAATACGAGAAGGCGAATTCCAGCCGGAGACGCGCATCGGGTGAGCAATGCATCATCTGCCGAATGATGGCAGAACTTCTTGTATGCATTTGCAAAATCTCACATCCGCCTATCGGATGACACGTGCAAAATGGAAGGACGAAGTTTCATCTCCGTGATACTCAGATTCTTTATACTTTATTGGTTCATCATAACGCATGATATGTACGTGTTAGCAAAGAAGATATTTTAGGATTATAATAAGAACAACGAAGGAAATTAGAGGAATAACTGTGATTCGATGTCCAATGACTGGACTCAGCTGACTCGTTGAACCATAGACAAAAAAGTGATAAGGCACGATAGAGAGGAAGAAAAGGAAACAAAAAAGGTAATGAAATGTGAGTTTGGATTTTTATCTATCGAATAGAATATAAAATGGGTACCGGTTGCAGCTGCGGAACATTGACGTGGGTGAGGCGGTTATTTATTTGCAATTTCGCAATCGCATCGAAATTCAAATGGGCCAGCTAGAGAAGTCGTTGACTACCAAGAAAAGATGCATAGTCTAAGTTCGATGGGGTCTGACAATGTCATCAGTACGAGTACATTCGAGGACTGACAGAGGCTAAGGCCCTCCATATACATTCCCACTGAATTCACATCAGTCACGAAATCTAACCAAGACTAAAATAAACTCTCAGGGCCCGTAGCGCTTATCTCTTGGGCCCCGTCTTTACTATACGATGTAAATCACGGCTCGCGCCCGCGCTATTTAAATCGTCTTTTGGGAGCGCGTCGGCGGTTTTCTTTTACAATTCCAATGCGAAGCCCTAAAGCGTCTCGCACGTACGATGAATAATGTGTTTTGGCCCGTGCGGTCGCCGTTTCCCTATGCGATTGCCACTTTTTGTATTTCTTACGAGTATGTCTGACGTCAATACCAAGAATCACATCAGTAACCCTTTCGTACACCAAAAGCATCCTTCCACCATATAAATTATCCCACACAGTGCTATGGTTGATTGTAGACATAGCACGTGATCCTTCTCATTCTTTCTAAGCCCCAATCAATGCCAATTAGTTTTTGTATAAATTAATGGACAGCCAGTCGAAGCCAGTTCGCTCCCGAATACCCTTTACATGCGCTCTGTCTAATTCCTCGTACCGCGATCCCTGCTTACGCATCGGGTGCAACAAATATTATGACTGTTACGAGTGCAAACAACAATTTCATCCGACGAGGCCGCATTATTATTTTCGTATGTCTAGACGCCAGATTGTCTGCCTCTCTGTCCGTCCTCACATATGAGGATACGTAGAGTGACGTAGAACATGCATGTCTACTTCTCTCTCTCTCTCTCTCTCTCTCTCTCTCTCTCCCTCCCTCTTTATCCCTTTACTCTCCCTCTTGCCACCACTTTCTCTCTCTCTCTCTCTCCCTCTCTTTTATTATTCTTCTTTTCCTCTTGGTAGGTTCATTTGTCCGTCTGTCCCTCCGTTTGCAAAGCACGTCCGTTTGTCCGATCATGAATTCAGACATGACGTCAGTAACGTTGCACCCGCGACGCATTCGCCGGCGCTTAGATGAAACTGCAACTTTCCTTACGTGCATCCGTATAGAGTGCACCGTCGCTGCCTTTGCCAAGACGAAGGACTTGTTACTCTCTACCATAACTAATGAATGGTTTATTATACGACGGTTGCGTCATTCTTACTATGTTCATATATCGCGATTCTGTCGGGGCGATAAAAACTAGTTTTAATCGGTTCGAGGGGAGTTCAAGTGCTAATTAACAGTAAACATATGAACTATTTTTATAAACGTATTTTTGACTTTAAAAGGATCAAATGACCCGTCCATATTGCCGAAAGTGTCCAAGAAATATTTTCCTACCACTCAGAAATATTTTTGAGAGGCATAAACTGCTTTTGTTTTACATTTTCTTTTTTTTTTCAAACAGTTTCATTGATTGTTGATCACTCGCGAGGAATCGATCACGATCGTATCGGGGCGCCTCATCGAAGGTCCTTCAATCGATGATATCGTTATTACGCTTTGGCTCTGTTTTTCGAACACGGTCTAGCTTCCGAGTATTGGCCAGTGACTGGCTTTCGATTTGAATCCGATAATACCTACCCCTCGGTGGTAGGTGGCGGGGAGTGCCGTTTTGTTTAGCCACAATGTAAATTTATTTTTATATTTTTTGTATAGTCCTAGAAAGGCGCCTCTTACTTAATTGGGCCTCTCTTATCGGTGATTTAAATCTTTTTTCTGTCTCTTACTTCCGGATCCTCGTGGACTTTGAAATGTTTTGAATTTTTTTACATTGGTCAGCACGACCGCCGTTAGGCCACGACAACTGTCGCAGACGTTTTAGATAGTCGAATGCCTTAACCCAATTTTAAGATTCACGCGCGTCACTACAGTTTTCGTTGGGACGATGAGGAGAGGGGTGGTGAGGCATTATTTGCTATCTGGACCACAGCATTACGTGACCCCTAGAATCCGGTGAAATTTCTATGAGAATTTCAACTACCTCGTTGATCCTTGTGAACAGTATCTGAATCAAGGAGAAAAACAGAGAATCAATATAGACAATTTTTAATAAATCTAATCATCCAAGCGTTATTATTAAAACGTTAAGATACGTTTGTATTTATAATCAAAGCGTGGATGGGATGTCGAAATGTTGGCTGGATCCCGAACAGGACGTTTTCGAGACATCTTAAGGAGTCTCGCAGTAAGTCATAAGTTGCTTATAACCGCTTGATGTCTTTTCGGGGTTGGCAGTGACGTTCGTGTATATGTACTATATATGGATATACCATATATATATATGTATACAAGCGCGCAACACCGTTTTATTTAAACGATACATTATGATTCAAAGATTATATCTTTCGATTCGTCTAGACAGTGGAGAGGGAGACACCCTATATAATCGTACGTGGCAGCCCCCGAGAAGCATCCAAACACGCATTTCACGCTTCGGTACACGCGTCCACAACATACATATATATAAATATATATATATATATACATAGATAGCACAAGGTGCTTGTGCTATCGAGAAAATCGAGAAGCGATTTTTGAAAGAAAGGAAGAAAGCGATAAAGGTTTGGAGAATTGTAAAAAAAAAGAAGAGGATTTGAAACAAAGCAGTAAGGGTTTCATCTCTTTTTTTTTAAATTAAAAAGAAAAATAGTTTTCCTTCCTTTGGAAAAAGGAATGATAAGAAGGAAGGGATAAATAATTGAAGATTAAAGAGCAAGGACATTTTAGAGAAAAGAGGAGAGGAGTCTATCTGTATCAAGAGAAGAGGCAGAACAAGAATTGGTGAAAGGGGGAGAGGTGAGACTAGAGAAAAAAAATAAAGGAAAGGATAAGAAGGATAAGAAGGATAAGGAGGATAAATTTTCCCGAAAAAAAGACGAAAATTTGAAATCCATCGTATATATAACTAAGAACATCTTTCTCGCTGGCTAGTGTTGAGTCTTCGTCTCTTGGAATTACTGAGTAGACAGAATTATGTCTGTGAGCTCTGCTTGGCTCAGTTGAGACTTACGGCTCACGCCGGGCACACACGCATACGAATCTTCCTAGTTATACGCACCTCGGCCACGGGCTGCTAACTTCGGTCCGATACCGGTCCGCGTACCAGTACCAGACCGATCGCGGACGAGTTTGAGAAAACGCGTGGAGAAAACGTTATCCTTGTATTTGAAAAGGGGTTGGGAGAAAGAGGGGGTGAGATAAGCGAAGGAACACAAGAGAGGACTGGAGGACTTAAAAAGAAAAATTCAATTTATCTCCACAATATCGATTTGGATTATGATACAGATTTTGAGGTGGGATTAAAATATATTAAATTTAATCAATATTTTGATTGAGTCAGAGAAAATTTTCTTGATTATTTATAGTTTTTGGGTAAATTACTATATATATATATATATATATATATATATATATATATATATATATATATAGAAAGGACTATTTTCTGCAAGGCATAATGATTCCAGATCGATAATCGATCGTTAACTATCGATTGTGCTGTGTGCACCAGTGTATATTATTGATACCATCGATTGGTTCGTTATCGCGCATCAGGAAGAAATAATTTCGAAAGAAAATTTTGAATTCCTTAACAATGAGGAACTCTAAGCAGGGTGTTGTACTGCTGGTTATGTTAGTTCTTACTGGCGTCGCGACGTCTCATCGACACTATCGTCACCGTCACCCAGATAAGGGCGATCCTGATTTGTCAATAAATGCTCATGCGGATATAGTGAGTGAGAAGAATGATCATCCCCAGGATGTGAGTGTCGCAAAGAAGACGATCAAACAGGAAGATACTTCAAGTACTGTACCAATCAGTACTAAGCGATTTGAGAAGATGTTACAGAAGGCAATCTTGAAGATCATCACAGGTGACCTGAGTACGGGGGATATGCTCCTGTTGAAGAGTTTGAACTACAGTCTGGACGAGGTCCTGGCGATTAGGGAACGTGAGCTGAATAGAAAGCTGATTGAAAAGGAGAGGAAGAGTGGTCACGATGAGATATGGCGAGGTGGTAACAAGGATAACCGGAAGAAGGATCCTTCGAGGAAGTTTGAGAAACCCCTGGAGGAGTACGATTATTTAGCACGTTACGGGGATGACACCAGGAACCAGATGGAGACCGACTACGAAGACGCGAAGGAGGTTAAGGGTCGTAAGAAGGAATTGTCTACCGATAACAAACGTCCTTACGAATCGAGGAACTTCGATTTGGACCCGTACAACAGGCAGGATGTATTGCACTATGAGACACCAGAGTCCAGGATGGACAACAAGCAGTCCTGGGGTGACGGCACTGTGGATTACGAAGACTCGCCTAAGGATCTCGAACCCAAGGAAAGCCTGGAGAATCCTCACGTGAACTTTGACAGAGCCATGGAGCCCCACGTGGTATTCAAGATCCGGTACGATGATTCAGAGTTCGATTCGAATTCCGACGAGAGGGTCAAGTCCCAGGAGATAACGGAGAACGTATCGACTATGAAGAATCCTGACAGCACTTTTCATTTTGTCGATAATCGTTCTGGTCCATCACTTCCTATAGTTTATCGGCTGGGACAGACTGCTAGACCTGGGGAACACCACGAGGACTCTGCAATTACTACAGAAGGGTATACGGTAAGCACTGCCAATGTCCAGACCCAGTTCTCCAGCATTGACAAGACCAGTCAGACTTCTGGCCACCAAGTCCTGAGCTCGTATACCACCGCTGCTAGCACAGACAATGTCAGGATGGATCTGACTACCGGAAGTAACCATCAGGATGACGTCACCGAGAATCCTATGAAAATTCATAACGATTCTTCGGCTCTGGAGAATTTTGAAAAGTCAACAAAAAATTTTACCAACTCCTCCAGGAATAGCACCGAGTACGAGGGTCTCGAATGGGTCGAGGATGACGTGTATCGTGTAATACCGGAAGCCATGGAGTTGGTGAATTACGATGTTAACGACACCGTGGCGTCTGATTATTATGAGCAAAACTCATCTTATCAGAATCTATATGCATCTGTGGATTATGCTGATTATAACGAGACGATGGGTTATCAAAAAGATATGCCAGATGCGGTGCGGCTCTTCATGGCCAATGCCAATGTCACCCTGGACAATGATCCGACTACCAATGTGACGTCATACCAAGAAATGATGATGGCTCATCGTCGAGAGTGAGTAAAATTTTAACGTTAACTTAGCAATTATAAATTACGATCACCCGGTATAAGATTTGATTCAATATTTTCTTATTCTCGTCGCTATATTTCTGTACTATCGTCATAGTCATTTTCTTTCTTGTTATTCTAGTGGAAATCTTTCGTCCAATTTTGACAGGTAAGCCAATTGCAATGGCTGACAACCAAAAGAATCTTACTATTGGTAAATCCGTGAGTGCTTTATAAACAGTGTGTGTTTTTGTTATTTCATTCATTGTTGTTATTATTATTACATCAGATTTGTGATACCAAAGAACTAAATGGCAACGCATTTTACCATTTCGATACTAATTATATTTTTTATCCACATAAATACGCAAACCTATGTGCACGTATATTCTGTCTCTCATAAATCCACTCGTTCTCTCTCAGCTTTTCTTTCTATTCGCCTGCCAAGTAGGAGGCCTCGAATTCCATTTCTGCCACGCGCCATTTTCCCTCCTGTATTTCGGTACACATCCGTTTGAGCATGAGCTTGCCAAAATTTTAGTAAAGACCGAAATATCTGATGCATATAAAACTACGAATACCAGTATAAGAAAAAGTGAGCCATAATCCGAATGGTGTAAGAGTATTTGGAAAAGCATACAAAAAATTTTTTAAAAAGTGTCTAATACGTGTCCCAATCGGTTCCTCCCCGATTAGATAGCCTGCCGATCTCTTACGCAACTCGAGCTGCACACGTGTGGCTGACGGGCACGTGTATCATCAAGTTGACTCCATTTTATCTTATTTTCACCTTTTCTCTTCACTTTGTCTAACATCGATCGTATTTCACAATCGATTCTCGTAGAATAGCTGCCGTCTCTCAATTTCGTATGTTATTAGCTGCGTTCCGGAGCAAAGGAGCCTATTCGAGTCGTAGTAAGGAAATACCGCTAGGAGGGACTACCTAAGTTTTTAAATCGCCCCTGTCCTCCATCTTGCTTCAACAGCAACGCGTCCTTCTTCCTTCCTCCAACCTCACACGCGGCATTTGTTTTATTTTATTAAGTCTAGACGCGTAAATGCATTCGTGTCGGCATTGGCGTAGCCGAGTTCCCTCCACGTGTTTAGTGGTTAACAATCCATTTCTTGCGCAACATATATTTTACGTATTACAACTCTATCACTCTTATGTAATATATATATATATATACATATAGCTATAATTCATCATACTCGAAGAAGAAAGAAAATTGGTAACAAAAATATTTTACAAAAATTTTCAATCACATCTCACGTAATATTGCGTGTGATTCGTATACGATATGGCGACAGCACACGTGGCTCGGGACATGTGTTTATTATTTGATGTCGAAAAAAGCAAGTTGAGCACCCTCGTAATGACTGGTGTCTAGTCGGACTGCAGTTAGGCTGCTCTTATGTGGTTATGTAACACATTTTAATTTAATGCCCTGACCTTGTCTATGCCTCTCTTCCTATGTCGAAGGAAGATATAATGTGAGACTCTTAAGAGTGAGAGAGAGCGAGAGTGAGAAAGAGATACAAAAGTGAGCGGAGGGGACACTCGGAAGATCGAGAGATACAATCTTTCTTTTCGATAATTTCTCTCTCTCTCTCTCTCTCTCTCTCTCTCTCGCAACTCCTTTAAATAGAGAAAGAAACAGACTTACCTCGAATTCAGATCCTACAGAAATTCTACATAACCGTCCTATAAAATGTGTTCCTCCCATAATTCATGCCCCCCCCCCCCCT